GTTTCCAGGTAAAACTCCTTGAATATGCAGAAAGAGCTGGAAATTCATTTTAACTTTTTTTTTTGCGAGTTACACTAAATACACATCATGAAATTTTGTTAAATTCTAAACTATTTCCTGGTTTAAAATTGTAGAAAATTATAATAAACATTATTACTCAAATTTTGAAATAAGAATAAAATGACTAAGAATTATTTAAAATTATGGGAAGTTTCATAATGTAAAATTTAATTTAGAAAATTTCAAATCATTCTGTGGAATACAAAATTTAACTATTTTCACGGCAGCAGAACAAGCTAAAAATGTTTGTGAAAAATTTAAATTAGGTTATTTTACAAAACTTCCTTGATCTACATTTCTGTCTCAAACTTGAAAATAATGTTTTATGCTTTGGAATATTTATATTATATCCATGTGCTATCATGTTACAACAGCACACTTAGTAGTCTCACAGGCCAAAGTTCTAAACAAACATTCTGACACATACCCATACATCACTATCTAACAAATTAGTTTCCTGTATACAAGCTTGGTCATTTATAGCCATTGAAACCATACATACTACAGTTTTAAATAAACTAAATGTCACAAAATTTGGCAAGCTCATAGTACACCTTAGAAGTGTGTTGTACACAAAAAATCAAATTTCTAAACTTGTGTGCACAGCTGGGTAAAAATGTGCATATCACAGCCTTTTACATAGTTACATTCAATATTTAATCCCACAACCTTATTATCACTGTATGTTAACAAACTTAGCAGCAAATTAGTGTATAATTCAAATTTTAATATTATACAAGTTTAAGTATTTTAATTTCAAAGGAAATATTTAAATTCTCAATTTTTCTTTCTATCACATGACTTCTTTGCTCTCAGTTATCCACTTTAGATATACTTTCCAGCCCTACTTGAACTTCTGACTTTCAACACAAATTACAAACTTGATGTATAAATACTGCTATGACAATCTTCAAATCTACCTTCCACACACTCTTTTATCACAGTTTTTCAATGAATGCCAATAATTATCTGGTGCTTGCTATTATTTATAGCCAATAGAAAAAGAAAATTATAATTTATTCATTTACATATAATACTAGCTTCTAATGACGGCTTTTCATTCATTCAGCCTATGGATTCAAAGTTGTTACCGCAAAATTCAGATAAACCAGGTAAAAGAATTATTTTAATGCACTTATAGCTTGATTAGAAAGCCATGTAAATTATAATAGTTATAGAACATTGTATTTTTTGTGCATGTTATTATTTTTGTGTTCCATGTTGAATATTTAAAAGAAAAGTAATAACAAAAAGTAAAAAACCCACACAAGTACTAAATTTATGTACATTACCTATTTATTGTTATAAAGTAACTAAAATATAAAAAATTAGAAACTTGTTTTAGGTAAGAAAACAAATGAAAAACTTCCTCAGCATATCTATAACCTAGCTGCTCACCAGCTGATCTGCAAGTTTGTTACTTGGATTTAGTAGTTAGGAACTGTTCCAGGAGCAACAAAACAATAAAATTACATGAAAACTGATGTAATATGTCACAAAACTGAGATTGTTTAGAATAAATTACTAATTGTCTGTTACAATATGCAATCATTCTATAAATAAAAAAAGGTAACATAGATTTCATTTTACTCTACATTATTAATTTTAGCTACAGTTAGCATTAGGGTAGAGAGAATGATAGCTAAAATAGTTTTAATGAGAAAAAGATATTTATTTAGGAGATTCTAGAAATTATTTAAATGAAAAGCAAAACCTAAGATGAAAAAATATTTTTATTTTTAACATGAAAATCATCTTGCACTCAGATTATTCAAAGTTCAATTCAAGCTGACTACAGAGATTCAGAAAAAGCTTTAGCAAAAACACTTTATTAAAAAATTATGATTTTTTTGTGCATAACATACTTTTAATGTTTACTAGAAGTTTACCAAGTTTTGTGAAAATACATCTAGCAAATTTGGAATTATAGTAAATATTACCAGGTGTAGTTTCACATAAATGGGGATGATGCAGTGCACCAATGCCACACATTTAGGGTTTTTTAACTGAAGACTTGTATGTGAATTTACAAAGTCTTTGCTGCATCAGTCTGAAGTGAAAGGCAATTTTAATGCTAAGAATAAAAATATTTCTTTTCATGTTAGTTTTCATATTTCATTTGCATAACCTCATATGTGAATATCAAGTTTTTCATTAAACTTTTATGCTTTATCTCTTATTTTCTCTATGACAACATTAGTTGTAAATAAATCTGTAGTGGAAGTTGAGAAATATGAAATAAAATACAAAATACCATGCATATTGTAATAGCCAATTAGAATTATTTATCTTAATGGCTTTAGGCCTCAACTTTAAATGACTGCTTTCATTAAATTTTGTTTTATTGCTCTTTGAAGCACATCTATGATGACAAGTAATATATCATCCAGCTTGAAAAATTTCAGTTTACATGACATCTAATTATATACATACATTCCTCAAGCATTTTTAAGTTTTACTGTACAAGTTTTTACATTTTTGTTACTTTTGTTAAAAAATTCTAAAAATTACATAAAAACAAACTTGGCACTTGGCCATAAGCCAGTTTGCTCTTAGATGCCCACTTTCATGAGTTCTTTTATTTTTCTATATTTGTTGTTCAAAAAAATAATTCATGTAACTTTCAAATATACATCTTAAAACAAAAATATTTTAGGAACTAAAACAGAATGCCCCAAAACTACTATAATTATCTGGCTTTCTAACCAAGTTTCTTTTTTGTGAGTGTAAAACACTTAAATACACCAGTTCGATTTTCAATACCTCACTACTATAAAGGCTTGGTTTGGTCCAATATTTCATTGATGGTAGTGTCCAGGGTCACTGATGAGGAGTGAAATTCTCCGAAACTAGTCTGGCTTACAGATACACCCCAGTGAAAGAACAGACCATTCCAAGCTTTTTACTTGTTGTTAAACAAATGTTTAAACAACTATTTATTCAATAAGCTATAAATATGTTAAAATCCATTACTCTTCTGAGCACTGTCTTCAGTCTACACCCAAGGTCTACTTGCAAAATAGCAGTTTCCTCCACAAAAACAAAACAGTATCTTCAAAATCATGTTGTTCATGAAATGGCTTTCTGTTGGTTATAAACATGGGCTACTGACAAGTGGGCACGAACAAATAAGTTATTTTAAAAGTATGAAGAGTTGGGAGGACATCTGTGGTGGATGTAATAATTTTGATGTCTTAGGAAATAAAGAAGGTGGGAGGTTAATATATATTGTGGCTTGTCAATATTTATACTTAGTGTACCTCATTAGTGGACACTGAAGCTCATACACGGGTCACATGACACAAGGAAATGAAGAATGACATTTAAGTATTTCCTTTTGAAATTAAGAAATTAATACACAAATTTGAATTATAAAGTACATTTTAATGCTAAGTTTATTGACATGCATTGCTAATAAAGTAGTTAAATTTTGAATGTAACTCTGTAAAAAATTGTGACATGCACTTTGCCCCACCCCCACCTGTATCCAGAGGGATAAATTTACCAATAGACAGGTCAGTAAACTAAGTATGCAATAACATTAAATATTTTACATGTTCATCTAGCCATTCCTTACTGTAACTACTACTACACCATTCCTTGCTATTCTGTTATACAATTTATAGACAGTTAAAATAAACATTTTTTCTGTACAGTATTTTCCACCCCATTTTAGCTGTTTATAATTCTTAACGTTTAAAATTTGAATTTCACTTTAAAGTCATGAAAATACATTTAACCTTTGCTTTGTTTAATTTTAATTAAAACTAGATACTTCTTTCATTTCTGATGTGATTAAAATATTCTAATTAGCAAATTTACTCATCAAAATAGGAATTTTAAAATTTAATGTACATTTTTCACAGTAAAAAATTTGTTATATAAAGAATATTATATCAAACTTTAGTTCAAATGTTTTATATTATGATTCATAGTCTCTAAATAAGGATAATACATCATTTAGAATGTTTTATTAAATTTCATTCGATGTACCTAATGGTTTAAGAACTTACAAAAACCAAATAATATTAGGAGAACCAAAACTGAAAAATCAGAAAAATAGATTAATAGTAAATTCCATGCAAAATAACATTTACATGATTGAAATACTCCATGGTGGTCCAACCTTTTACCTATGGAGTTTCCAACTGTAGTAGATAAAATTTTGCACAAAGCTACACAAGGGCTATTTACATTAGCCATCCTTAATTTAGCAGTGAAAGGCTAGAGGGAAGGCAACTATTCATCATCACCCACCACCAACTCTTGGATTACTCTTTTACCAATGAATAGTGGGATTGACCATCAAATAATAATGCCTCTGCTGCTGAAAGGGTAAGCATGTTTGGTGGGATGGGGATTCAAACCTGTGACCCGCAGATTCTGCATCAAGCACCCTAACCTCCTGATCATGCCAGGCCTAGTAGATAGAAATATTAGAGGTCCATAGTGTTATTTATGATTTATTGGAATGGAATTTTCAATTAACATTTCAGTAAAATTTTCTTATTAGATAAATTTTGGCTTTTAACATAAATTCATAACATGTTGTGGACCACATGAACTTAGTTAAGCTGCATGCAGCCTGCTAATTGAACCATACTAAACTACACCATCAAATTCAAAGTGTAAAAAACAAAAATCTTCTTACAACAATGGGTATTACTACGAAGTACAAACATATACAAAATAAAATATAAATAATGTTGCTACTTTCCATAATCATTAATTATCTTTAAAATTGTCAAATTAATAACTCATTCATATCAACTTATAATAAAAAAGGAAATACTAAAATTTACACAAATTTATACAGGTGAAAAAAGCTAGGCCTATTTTTTTTCCTAGTGAAGTACCATTATTAGTATTAGTGCAAAAGCTATGTATTTTATTGACTTCTGGGATAAAACGTTATGCTTTGCTGCACAAGTACATTAGTCCCATAATTTTTAATACCAATAGTACTGTTTTCAAGCCTAGCCTAGTTAGTAAAGAAACTTGTACTTACCAGATATTAGTATTATTACCACAGCAGTATAATGGTAGATGTCAAGTTGTAAAAACAACTATGTATTATTTAGGCTATGCTTGACATTACTAATATTACTACTATTTGAAAAATAATACAATAATTTTTGCTTTGTCGTTTTATTTAACTAAAACTTCTCTAGTTCTAGTATCCTCAAGATCATTATCAAATTATCTCTATTCACAATAACAACGGTGGCATGAAAAGATAGATCATGTCGCTCAATGAATCTGATTTCGTTCCTTACCGGCAAACAACCATTTCTCAAAATGGCGTTCACTATAAATGATTGGACTTTGCTATCGAATCTAAATCCACTTACATCTATTTTATGTTTAAAGCGTTTTTTGTTTTCACTTCAAGGTACATTTAGTTAAACTTTGAATTAGTTGATCTATCGTTTAGCATCTAAATATCATCGTTTTTATTTCATAATACGTTTCTGGGGAAAAGCTTTTCTTTATTCCAACAAAAACCGTTTAACGTTATTAATAAACGCATTCAAATTTTGTAACACCAGCAGTATCTTTCTTTTTTCATTCTATATATTTAAAAAGTTAACATTTTCAACAAATGAGCTAAAATAATACAAAGAAAATGAAAATCAGCCAAACAAAGTATTTACTATTTCTAGCAAAAAACTTACGTGAATCCGCCATGACCAATATATTTCTCTACCGAAAAGAGCCTAATTTAAGTCGTAGTTGATTTCTTTACCCTAGTGGCTTCATCAAACAACTTAGAATATATGTAATATTGCTACAAATAAATATTAATAAGAAATAGAGCTTAATGAATAGTTTACATGTGATATTTAGTGAAAAGTTTGATTATTAAAATATTTTGAAGCATATGAGTTTCTTAAAGGATTCCAAATAAATAAATAACCCACAAAATCATAAAACAAACAACATGATAATATTAAACATAATATTGGTGTGAACGTGCTTTTTAGTCACTATGAGAAAAACCTATACACTGGATAGGTGAAGTGAAGAAAAAGTGTTATTGGAAAACAACGATTTATAAGCCTAAGGACGAAATTTATTGGTAGTGGAACATATTACATGCTTCGACAGAGCATTGATCTGTCTTCTTCGGGTATTCTTTTACAGATGCTCATGAGTGGCACAGCAATATGTTTGCGGATTTGCACTGCTAGAAACCGGGGCTCGATACTCGTGATAGGCAGAGCACAGATAGCTCATTATGTAGTTTTGTGCTTAACTACAAACAAACAAAAAATCTTTACAGATTCGGTTTTAAATGTATTTTTATGGGTGACACTTGAAGGAAAGGTTGAGTAGTATCCATTATTGAAATATTTAAGATTATTAATTAGAATCCAGACAGTTATTAGTTTGTATATTTAAAAGCTTTTCATTTGTAGTTTGAAAATAACATGTGTTTCCATCATCGTGTATTATTGTTGCGTATCTGCTTGTTTGTTAATTTCCTGTAGAAATTCTTTCCGAGAAACTTCAGCGATACTAGTCCTTTCTTAATTAAAACTAATTTATTCTTTCTCGATACAACTTTGTAATACACAGAATTTTCACAGTCACTTTAAACTTAACTACTTTTATAAACACACACACTATAATTCACAGCGATTCACAGACTTTACTTACGGTGCCTACTGCTCGCTTGACTCAATTATCAATTATTTCTGTTCAATCTATCTCCGGCTTATGTACTAAGAAAAAGAGGGCGTCTAGTAAATACTGGGATATTCTTGAGGTTCCCTCGATCCTTCTAGAAACTCCAACGCGCATGCTCCCAGCGTCGCGTGACTTCCGCTGTCGTAACAATATGCGATGTTACTGTGAGCGGCTTCCTTTGTGCTCGACGCTTGTTAAACGCGTGTTTACACGAAACCTCAGGCACAAAACCATCTAGCTTAGTAAATAATGGCTGGGTGGGGAAATGCGATACTAGTCCTTTCTTAATTAAAACTAGTTTATTTTTTCTCGATACAACTTTGTAATACACAAAATTTTCATAGTCACTTTAAACTTAACTACTTTTATAAACACACACACTATAATTCACAGCAATTCACAAACTTTACTTACGGTGCCTACTACTCGCTTGACTCAATTATCAATTATTTCTGTTCAATCTATCTCCGGCTTATGTACTAAGAAAAAGAGGGCGTCTAGCAAATACTGGGATATTCGTGAGGTTCCCCCGATCCTTCTAGAAACTCCAACGCGCATGCTCCCAGCGTCGCGTGACTTCCGCTGTCGTAACAATATGCGATGTTACTGTGAGCGGCTTCCTTTGAGCTCGACGCTTGTTAGCTTGTTAAACGCGTGTTTACACGAAACCTCAGGCACAAAACCATCTAGCTTAGTAAATAATGGCTGGGTGGGGAAATGCGGTAGTAAACTGTTGAAAAACATATAACATTCAACTGAGTGCATATGGACGTATGTAGCTTAAAGTACACCATAAACGAACATAAACAAAAACTAAAGAACAATATAATAAAAAATCGTTAATTTAAAAATGGGGAATAGGAATCATCAAAAAGTACAGAAACAAGATGAAACAAAATGCAAAGATTATGTTTCAAAACCTATAACCAGAGACTCTTAAAAAAAGTAAACAAACTAGACTGGAAATAGTGTTTACATTATTTTCACAAGATACAATTCCCTAATTTGACTCCATATCTACAGTACTCATCAATTTCAGCACAGTCAGTATGCAAAGCATACTAATGCTACGGGGGTTTGGGGGCATAACCCCTCAGAAAATTTGTAAAAAGTAGGTACTATGAAATTAAATCCGGAAGCAATTTTGCATGAATTATAGCTTAAAGAATTGCATAGCTGTTCACATAAAATCCACAAACATCCAATGAAAAGTCAACAGATCATCATTCTGTTATAGCACTGCATGGGAAGCTAGACTTAAATTACCATAAACACGTATGTTTTATTACAGTAAAGTACTGTACTATCTGCATGCAGAGTAGTTATTAATTGTTGAATTATATTACTGATTTAAAAAACTATGTACAACAATAGTATATTAGTTATTTCAATCATTGGTTATCGTATACATACGTGTATGCACTACTGAAATAACATATTAGCATGCTCCATTATTCTGGAGTGACTTTCCATAAATAACTTACATATAGCTTCAATGTAAATAGCATTGTCATAATGATTATATATTAAAGCTAGAGCACTCAGTCTTTCTTTGGTTTGTGTACACTTAAGGTAATTATTCAACCGGTAGAAAGCAGATGCTGAACGTTCACATGAACATGAAGTTAGTGACAGAGTTTTTTACATAAAAAAATCAAGAGTTCAGCTTAAACCCCTCGAACCCTCCCACGTGCATACATGCATGAACTGATGTGCAAATTTTTACTATATTTTTTAGTAATGCATAAAAATTATGCATATAATTCAAATAAAGTCCAAATAAAGTTATTTTTAAAGCTACATTTGTTCCTTTTCTGTTCTCAAAGTAAGTAATGCATCTTGTGCCCAGAAAGGATATAACATAATACTGCACAGTATATCGAGTAAACTATCAAAATAATTGAAAGTAGAGAAACTAGTTTCAACAAATTAATGCATCTTCTCCAATTTCACGTTGTCTACTTAAGATCGCTATGGCAGTTAGAAGACTTTGCTAGCAAAGCTGTTAGATATTTACGACTGTTCATTTTAAGTTTAATACGAGAGTATTATTTAATTTATATAGTGCAAACTTTAAAGTAAGTTATTTTCAGAAACGATATTTATAACAAGTTTGCTTTGATATATGTTTATGAATCATTTGCTCTGTAATTCAAGTGTTATGAATTGAAGTCATATTGAAAAATTAGTCAAAAAGAAAAAAAGATAGAGACAGATATAGACTAGATTATCGTGGGTTTAGCCATAAAGAGTGACATTTAGAGTGTAATAATTGCAGATTGTATATTGTAGAGAAGAATAATTTGTTTGTTTGTTTTTGAATTTCGCGCAAAGCTACACGAGGGCTATCTGCGCTAGCCATCCCTAATTTAGCAGTGTAAGACTAGAGGGAAGGCAGCTAGTCATCACCACCCACCGCCAACTCTTGGGCTACTCTTTTACCAACGAATAGTGGGATTGACCGTTACATTATAACGCCACCACGGCTGAAAGGACGAGCATGTTTGGTGTGACGGGGATTCGAACCCGCGACCCTCAGATTGCGAGTCGAGTGCCTTAACCACCTGGCCATAGAATAATTTGTCTTGTCAGTTGGGTTCTAAAGTAACTGAACCAGCCTGTGTAGACGTTTGACATAAAATATAATTATTTAAAGTTCTAGATACAGCTGCGGCGACCCACAGGGTAATGTAAGTGAATTTATTACTGATTGTATTGTGATAACAAAGCAGGAAAGAATAATTCGTCTTGTCTATTGGGTTATAAAGTAACTGAACTAACCCATGTGGATTTTCAATGAAAAAGAAAATTACTTAAAGCTTTGGGTTCAACTGTGGTAATCAACTGTGTAATGAACATTTGTATATACGTTTTACTTGTTTAATATATTATTTTAAAACATGTGGACTGTGCCATTTGTGTATTGTCGAAATTTATTGTCAACAAGTCACAGATATCTACTGTAAAGAATCACGGCCCTATAAAACCTGACAGTGGCTAGCCAGCCAGGATTACACCGCGGTAAACGACAGTAAAAGAAGACGTGAACGACAGCAGAAATAGGCCTATCTATGCACAATTGTAGTGGTGGCAAAAA